AGACTATTTCATTTAATAAATGTTTTGTTTTGATATATAAATTGTTCAGGTTTTTTTTCATCTAAAAAAAAAGGTGACATTAATTTCTTGACGACCTAATAGTTTATGCTGGGAAAAAGACAAGAATAAAACTAAAACTTCTCGTATAGGAGTTTGGTGGGACTAAAATATATTTTGAAATACATAAAAACTTTTAACTGAAGTAAAAAGGTTAGTAAATCTTAATAAGTCAACAGTACAATAAAAACAGCATAAAATCTGTTCATTTGTTACAATAAAGAAGAAAAAAAGAGAATAAGTTGTTGTTTACATATCTTAGAAAGCTTTAGAATTTACAACAGTCTGATAAAATTATAAAGTTAACATCTGACTTAGAAAACATACATTACTTTCTTCCTCTTACATTATTGTATGGAATTACAAGAAACTGGTGTTTAAGTTAAATATAATGCCAACATTTCTTAATTAGTATACATACTGCACTGAAACACTTTGGTAAAACAAGTTACATCACACCTTTTCTTCTTCTGCTTTTCTTCTTCTTCATCTGCATACATCTTCATACGTGGAACTTTAATAAGTGGACGCTCATCTTCGTGGTCAGAAGAGACTCCACCTAACCGGTTTGCTTCAAATTCAAATAAACACATTTAATATCGTTTACAGTTCATATTGTCACATAAAAAGGGCCCAATGAAATAACATGACCAAAACATTCAGAGCTAACAAGCTTCAAACTCATATGATTATAAATTGAGAAATATTTTTTATATTACAACAAATAAATGGCTAATCATGAGGACTTCAAGTGTTTTGTTGAAAGAAAATAGGTTGGGATTTGCAATCTGAATGACACCTTATGTGCACATAGGTTAAATGGCCAGGTCAGAGACTTCCAAGGTTCAGTTTCAGCTGTCCCTATTGACCAGACAGACTACAACCAGTAAGAAGCATCCACCATCATGAGGGCTTTAAAATAAACAACAGTACTGATTGTCACTCTTATAATACACTTAAGCTGAAAGTGCAGAAAATTTTCAGTAGTATCATGGCATGAACATTGGACATACTGATTTGCAGTCTGACATGCTAAACTCTTAGAATGCACTCAAAGCTGGAAGTGTAGAGTATTTAGCAGCATCACAACATAAACCTTGGACCCTCTGATCTTCAGTCTGGCATGCTAATCACAAGGCCATGCCTGGCCTAAAATAAACCAGAAAAACATTCTCTAAAAATAATTGGCAGCACTTCTGAAATGCAAATAGTGTTAAGTTTACTTCAACAAAACTTAGTGAGAAGGTACTGAATAGGTTTGTCTAGGGAACCCAAATATTTCTCAATACTTCTGAAATAAACTTCAGCTTCTCTCAGGCGACTGAAAATAAATCCTATACCAAGACATTCAGTAAGTTTCTTCAGTTACTAAAAGAGAATATAATGAACACTAGCTTCTACCAACTGAAGAAGCTTTGTTGAAGACGTGATACGTCTTGGTAAAGGATTTCTTTTCAACTGCTGGAGATAAGCTGATGTGGTAGACTGAAAATTATCTTTCAAAATAATTTACAAAAAACAACAACACTTCAGATAGATGCAAAAATACTGTGATAATCTAAGAATGCTTGAAGTTCTTTAGTGTTTTATAAACTTAGTTTTTATTTTTGTTAAATTTATCCATCATATGAAAACCTGCAAGTTGCTTTTGCCTTTTAGTGCAGTTATTGCTTTTGATGTCTAAAGATTATTGTTGATACACATATTAAAACCACCACTGTACTTTCGAAACTTCAAACATTGTAAATCTTAAATGTCTTTATGAAAATAAAAAATGACTAAATGATTACTATATCAAATCCAGACAGTGACGAAAAAACTAAATTCAATATTTTTAAAATTCAAATAAAGTAGTATGGACTAATTTTAGAGTAGAAAGAAATATGAAACAATACATTAAGACTGTTAGTTTAGTAGTTCTCAACTCCTTGTTCCTAACTAAACAAAGACATTTCCATGTTATATATACTATAGCTTGATGATAACGTGGCCTTTATCTTTCTGCAATAAACACATTATTTCATATAATTTACAAAACAAGTCTCATTCTTAAAGTACAATAATCTATATTATTATAGTTTTATAATAACACAAGAAGAAAATGTACAACACAATACGCATCTTAATACTCATGATTTAAAAATATTTTTGCTCCATGGAGGTCTCAAGTGTGATTGGGTAAATGGAGTTTACCTAAATCTTTCTGTAAATCAGTCTTCATGTGCTGTATCTGCTTATCAATATCTGGGCTTGTCTTCTTCATGGCTACCTCTTCTAAAACATCCTGCAGTTCTTGTTTTTCTTGCTGTTGTCTAAAACGTCTTTTTCTGGATGTACTTATTATACCTGCAAGACCTTCCATCAACCAAAATAAACACACTTTTACCTAGCTAACTACAGGTTTGCACAACCAAGCAAAGGAAATTCTTATCGAACAGAAAACTATTGTAATTTTGGATAAATGCTTTCATCCTTATGTAAGAAATAAACATAAAATATAGTACCAAATTTAACACTTCCCTAATTTGAAAATGTATTTTTATAGACTCTCACCTCCTGCCACAGAACAGTTATGTTCTTCATATGTCTGCCTAAGAGATTGCATGCCACTAGTTTGGAGCTAACTCCCACCTAAATTCATTTGTTCAACATGAACTGTGCTAGTACATGATGTCATCACACGACAATAGTCAATAGGAGGGCAACATGACTTCCATGCACAGTAAATCCCCTAAGCACTTGCACTCGAGATAATTTCATTCTTAGATGAGGCAAAAAAAAGGTGCACTAGAAGTGAGGAGGTCGAGTGGGAATGTGTGGGACCGTGAGTATCAATCAGAAATACATTTTCAGATTATGATGTTAACTTCCGAGACAATACCTCACCTCCACACACAAAATAGCTAGAATCCCACATTGAATTGGTAGACGGACTGGTGAAAAATGTAAACCTAGATGAGCTTCATTCGAAAAGCACCCAAAGGGAAAATCCATGGAACGTGACACCAGATGGCAAAGGCACACCCATGGGAGACCACTTCTTGTCTCAACTAGGATATACTCTTTGCCTAGAATGTAAAAGAAGAAGAGGAAAAAGAGCCTCAAGTGTTGCATGGATAGGAAAAATTTGTATATGGCCAACCAAGCACCTGCACATAAATGGATGGCAAGCCAATATGTGTAGTACGGTTAAGATGTGATCAGACTGTATGGTGTGTCCTCACCTCGATTCTACTGGACAGACTCTGGCTGCAAGAGGAGGGCATATGACCTGTTTGAGGGATGATCCGTACTACATGGACAGTGTCACTACTGCCCTACTTCTCTCCATGTTGTGCTGGAGAAAATACTAAATAATCCAAAGTATCAGTTTCACTGAGCAAAGAAAAGAAAGAATCATAAGACACAGGCAAAAGAGAAAGAAAGGAACATACTTAAGAAATGATATCTTGAAATAAAGTGGAAGGTTGAGGATTGTCCTTGACTGGTTATGCTGTACCCAAAGCGAAACCAACTAGAAGGAAGAGTCGATCAAATTTGTCTTCTGTCTTCCCTCTGATCACTCTCAAACTGAAAGAAAGGGACTCCAATTGAAGGGATGGAAGAAGGAGGCCCAGTATATGTAAAAAGGGTCTCACAACACACAGTACAATGGCTATAACATCTTCAACTGTTAACAAGCCTTCAGAAATCATAGTAGAAAAATGTCCTGTATTTATAACTTTGTCATTTCCACAGGACAAAGTAGAAGTCACTATCTTGATAATTCATAAATAATTACAATGCTTTTGAAACAAAAACTAATGTAAAACAAAAACCAAAGTTTCAATTATGATTACAAAATCAGTAACTTAGAGAAAAGTTAACACATCCATTCAATGTAATGTTGTGAGAAAGAAGGAAGTTATCTTGAGTGCAAGTGTTTAGAGGGAGTTACTTCGCATGTAGGCTTGTTGCCCTTCTATTAGTGGACAGCTGTTGTAGCATGATTACATCTCATGCTCCAGCTCAGTTCACCTTAAACACAAGAACTTAGGAGTGAGTTAGTTCAAGGCTACTGGCATGCAAATCTCTTAGGCAGATATGTCTGAAATATAGGTATTCTGTGTGTGGAAGTGACGTATCGTCTCAGAATGCTATGACTATTGTTTGTTCCCTTCATAAAGTTTCTCTTCTGATACAAATAACAATCAGTGGCACTTCCTGGGTATGAAATGTGATTTGTCTTAAGCTAACATTAAAGTCATCAATCCCTTCTTTATAATGCTAAGCCTATGAGTAAATTTGATATTTCACCAATTTATATAGAAATTACAAAAACTTGCACAGAATAGTTCATGGTAATGCATTCTCTACAAAAGTCAAAATATTATAAACTTATACAACTATGTGAGTCTATACAAACTGGTACTGCTATGTACTTTATTATATGGTTTACACAAGCTAATTGAAACAAATTTTCAAGGATCTAAATTACTGAGTTTAAAAGAACAAGAACTCCATCAAAATTAAATACCTTATTTTTTATTATATTTTAGAAAAATGCAGTAACAACTGTATAAAATATTCTATCAATAACAGTATCACCATAGCTATTGAAAAAACAATTATCCTAGAAAAAGAAGAAAAAAAAAAGAAGAGAGGACTAAGTGATAAGCCTTGCATCTTTTTCTCAAATGCTGTGCTTTGGCCAAAGCTAAAAAATCCTCTACTGTGTAATCAAAATCAAATATTTATTAAACATATTATTTACCAACAGCAACTAAAAACACCACTAAGTCAAAAGTGTACAACAACTTATTAAAAACAGTACTAGGCTCGTTAGACAATTCTAAGTGTTTCATTAGTAATACTCCAAACACCATCAAGAAAAGTCAAACCATATAATTATTCAATGATCCTGAGGTCATTACTAATAAATAAATTATATTGCATTTTTAAGTTTATGAAAAAATAGTTTTTACCATATTTATACTATTTCAAATTGCCAATAAGATATCAAGTCAACTTTTACCTGATTGACTGCTGAATATACACTGTAACACAATCATGCCAACAAAGCAAACATTCATACTCACTATTACTGAGACCACTCTCATATTATTGCATTCATTAACTATGTTGTATATCTTGTCTTCACAAACAATTGCATTCCATTATTTTTAAAAGTTTTCTTAATTTACTGTACCAATTACACCTAACAAAGGATAGGAAACCTTATGGGTCAAAAAAACCTTTATATCTCAAGATAGTATTCAGCACATTGTAGAAGAAAATATTGCAAAGGGTGCTGTCATATGTTTCAGTTGTCAATGGGTATGATTACAATAAAAATCATGAACCAGCTTTTCAAGACTGTTATTCAGTTTATATCTGAAAGAAAGAACTAACAAGAACACAAAAAACAACAACAAGATAATATCAATAACACAAAACAATGCTCTATTTACACTCCTAATTTTTCCCAAAATATTTAGTGTGGGGACCCAAAGTGTCACTCAAAATATTCCAGCCAACATCAATCATTGTATAAATAATGGTTGACCTAATCAGGTATAAGCTAACAGGGTGTCTTTAATGGTTTATGTTTGTGTATTTCATCAAAGGCAGTTAGGCTTGTGATGATGTCTGCATTTGCATTTCTCTTTCTCTATTTTTATCAACAAATTTTAGGCAATTGCTGATGAAGAACCTAGGCTAGAACTACTATTAATTATTTTTAAGTAGTTTTACTGAACATGCAATTAGAAAAGTTCTGAAACATCCATGTTCTTTATACCTTCAATAATATTATGATATTACATTTCCACCAAACGAGTCTTGAGCTTATTTTATATTAATAATATCATTCCAACAATAATCATGTGAAATCTGTCACTTGCAGACAGAGGTACATAGTTCAAAGTCTGTTACTGATCAGTGTTGCCAAGTTGGAGTATTTCACATTTTATGAGTCCCATTTTCTAGAGATTGTTTTTTGGGAAACTGAAATAAATACAATAGTTCAGCTCGTCACCAATATGGGAGTGATAAAGTTAGACTTTCCAATAACTCCTGAAAAAACAGAAGTGAAAATTTTTTTTACAAACTTCCATGACTTTCCAGTATTTTCATGACTTGTATGAACCATAATACAAGTTAAGCAAATACTATTGCTCAGTCAATCATAAGTTTTTTTGAATATGAATAGCTAATTACTGGTGCACTTCACACACCCTTACTTACACCACATTTGTTCTCAATCAATCTGATCAATCACAATAAACATTTTCAACATAAAACACATGATAATCTGAAAGAAAGAACTAACAAGAACACAAAAAAACAACAAAAAGATAATATTAATAACACAAAACAATGCTCTATTCCCAAAATAATTAGTGGTGGGGACCCAAAATGTCACTCAAAATATTCCAGCCAACATCAATCCCTAGAAAATCTCTGTGAAAAATGAGCAAACTTAAATTGAAACAATGATTATTCAAATGATATCCACAGTTAAATTTGTTATATGAAAATGAGGCAAGGAAAGAAAGAAAAAATCTAATCAGGATAAATAACTTTCATTGTTTATTGGAAGTCATCATATCAGTGAAGTCTCAGAAGAAAACAATAATTGATTTACAGCTGTAGTAAAGGTTGCCATATCAGAGTAGTAACACAAAGGAAAGTACCCGGTTTAGTAAAAGTTATCATATAAGAATAGTATCACAAATTACCCATACCAGCATTATAAAAACAGCAACTCAAGTGTGTCATGGCAAGTTGCTAGGGCTGTCACAAGTCTCACCAAACAAAGAATAATTAAGAACTTAAAAACTCTGCAAAATAAAATATTGCATGTAGCAATCAAGGTAAGTGGGTTAGGGTGTTGTCAGTGAAAATAAGCTTGTAAACCAATGAGTAACTGGCTTGCAGTTGTTGTTAAAGGTAAACATATAAGTATAGTATCACAAAAGTTTGTTTGTTTGTTGTTAAGCACAAAGCTACATGATGGACTATCTGTGCTGTATCCAAAATTAATATGGAAATCTAATTTTTAGTGGTATGAGCCCCTGAGTCACGGGGGGGGGGGGGGGGAACTATCACAAAGAAAAGTACCTGTATGATGAAAACAGTAACTGATTTACAGCTGTAGTAAAGGTTGCCATATTAGATCAAAATAGTGTCACCAAAGAAAGTACCTGTATGAGAAAAATAACTGATTTACAGCTGTAGTGAAGGTTGCTGTATCAGGATAGTATCACAAAAAAAGTACCTGTAGGATAAAAACAGTAATTAATTTTATTTTTACCTCTTGTCATTTCCAGGTTCTCATTGATTTTTTAAAGATTATCTGATATCTTTTTCTTAAATGCATTTTAAGACTCACATAAGACAAATAAGAGGGACAACAAAAGTTAAAATTTTAAAACTGGTTTTTCATATTTTTGAATGTTAAAACACCAAATACCTATTTCAGAATTTTAGCTTATATCCCTTTTAGCTGTTATGCATGAATTGTATAATACATCATTTTTATTTACTATAGCTTTACTTTCTCCATGATTTCCACATTTTCTAGGTCTGTTGCCACCCTGGGTTACAAATCATCTTGTGATCAATACAATGATAATAGTACAATAGTAGAGAAGAACAAAAACTATCACACAATGACAACCACCTCACCTCCATAATTAGGGTTTCCATACTTCCTGTAATATAAGCTTGATTTTTCAGATCCTCGAATCTTTCGATCCTCTGTTTGTAGGGTTAAAATTCAGATATTTAAAAAAATTTAAATAACACTTTTTAAAAACTAAAATCTTCTGATCCAACATTTATTTAATCAAAGCAAAAAAATATTTACTTTGAAAGATGTAATTCCTTCAACATTTGTCATACAATGAAAAGTTATAATTTTCCTATATTGAAAATGTATTTCCGATAGGTGCTTATCTCTGTTAACATAAATAGCTATATGCTGCCCTCTATATGCAAAAAAATCTTATGCATGCCACAAGCCTTTTTTCCCCCTCCATTGAAATTCACTAATTCCAATGGATCTCTCATGAAAATCATCATGCAACAACCATTCACCAATAAGAGTGCGACATACTCTCATTATGCATGTGACTCCTTCTATTCAATTCTACCTATCACTTCTCGTTTGGCAGTACTTGTGTTCAGATGTTTTTAGCTTTTGGTGCCTTTCATGTGCTTCGCACTTGTAAAATTAATAATTTCAATTCTGAAGTGGGAATTCTTCATTAATCTTTTTTGTTATATTGAAAATTATAACTTCTGATACGGTACATTACCTCCTCTCACATAAATAGCTAGAATCCCACATTGAATAGGTGAAGGGACCAGAGCGAGGGAAAGAAAGAAGCATCATTCGAAAGTGTTGAAAGGACACTCCCTAAAATGAGATAGATTGATTTTAAGATCTGATGAGGGAGACCACACCACATCTGAACCAGGTATACTCTTTGTCCATCGTAGAAAGATGTCGCATATATGGGTGAAAAACAAAAGAGTACATCCTACTGGTAGAGAACTATGGCCGGAAAGTGTAAAATTGGGTAAAATAAAAAGGATGTGCCCCTAGATGTAGAGTGGATAGGACACGATGGACTGTACACAGCAAGTCAATTAAATCTAAAACCCATGCCGCTGGGAACTAGCATCCAAGGAAGGGGTAAAATGAAGATCAAACCATCAGTAAGTCAACTACAATCGAAAACCTGGCTGTATGGTACTGACATCTATGTGGAGGTAGGAAAGAGGATCATACCAGTGGCAGGTCAACTACAATCCAAAACCCAGCCATCTGGTGGGGGTAGGAAAGAGTATTATACCATCTTCACCTCAAGTTCATGAGACCGAAGAGAATCTAGTACTCCCTGACTCATGAACAGGGTACATGTGAATATGATAAATTGATCAGAAAACCTGACATCTGGTATCGAAAAGATGTCTACATAATGTAAATCATCTCCCTAAAAAGTGAAATTGACCAGAACCACCCCAATTGCATTAACATCCTCGGAATAAGAAACATCAAGGGATAGCAGAAGGGAAAGAATCGTTATAATCCACAACTACCTCCACTGTGACCCACAACAATGATGGAGTATAAATGAGAGGAATACAGACATCTGTAATAAAATTGATTGGTTCTACTCAAAATCCAAAACCCGGCCACTGGGAATCGACATTCACGTGCGGGTAGGATGAGGGATCCCAATCAAAGGGGTGTAGTGCAATTTTGACATCTCACTCCAATTTGTTTTTATGTTTCATACTGGAGGATATCACATCATCTGCACCAGCAGAATACCACTACCCTATTCTCAACTGAATGGTTTTATAATCATTTCTATATTTTGTGTGTATTTCATTAATCCATTCAGGAGGATGCCTCCAAAGTCCATCTCTCCAGCAGCTTGGAACTGGAAAGTGGTAAGGACTCTCAAGCTTCACTAGAATAAAACAGGGGTAAAACATGGTGGAGAGACTGGAAGAATGACAACACCTAAGACACAAAACCCTATTTTTTAAAAGCAGACCATACTATTTTATTCAATTCAAGGCATGGCAGGGATGGGCAGCTATTCCCTTCTGCTTTACCAATGTAGTCCATGGGTGGGTAAAGTACACGATGGGCAAACTTATGAAGCATTTCTATCGCAAGGATAAACCTACAAGCAATCTTGTGGAACACCCCATCTCTGCAGTGTGTGTTGTGTGGCCATGGAATTATAATATGCAAGTCAACATGGCTGGACAGTGCAGATTTGAACAGTTGAAGAATACCTTGTCAGGCACCACTTGTCTGGAGTGGGATCCAAACAACGAGTAATAATAATAAAAAAAGAAATAAGGCCTCTGAAAAGAATAATAAAAGATAACTTACCCATACAGCTAGAAAATCCAGGATGTTTATATGATAAGATCTCTCAGCCGCAGACCAATACCCGAAAGCTTCCTGTTGATTGACGCATGCCCCACAGCCCTGAAGGAATGCTTCTACAAAAATGTGTAAATCAGGATGAGGAGAAAGTGAGACACCCACCTACATGTGAGTTATGTCCAACCACCATTGCAGATCGTTGAAGGAGGAAGGGTAATAAGAGCCTGCAAAGGTTCCAATGCAAGATACCAATGGTCATGAAGAGCCCACATATGAGCACAACCTAAGAGGATAAGGACTGCCATGGAAGACCACATTCACAAAACCAATTGAAATTCACAAACTGTAACAGAGGGAGCAGTAAGAACATGGAGAACTGAAAGTCAAAGAAGAGAAGGTTAGGTCCGACTGAGATGGATGTTAAAAAAAACACCCAAATGGACAAGATATTGGGTAGGCTGAAGGAATGACTTGTCCAATTTGATTAACCAGCCCACTCAAATTGCCTCCAGGAGCAGCTGATGAGTGTGATGGGTGGATTCCTGTTTGGAACAAGCTAACAGTAGCCAGTTTTCTTGGGGACAGCAAACAACATAGAATAAAAGTCTGGAGAAGAACGATGAACAGGTCTGATGGCCTGTTGAGACAAAAAGACTTGTACTGCCTCTGACAGACATTGGCAGGTGATAGGATCCCGAGGCATAGGGAAGGAAACGGGTACCCGAAACAAAGGAGGGGGAGGAGGAAAAGTCCTTCAAATAAAACCTGAATAACCCACTGATCTGTGGAGAAAGATTACTAAAGGGGAACAAATTCCCACAATCAAACTCCTACTGGACCGGAACTCACTGGTTCTGTTGCCACCGTGCCCATCTACATCGAATAAAACAATGAGATGAGAAACAGGTAAGGGCTGATATGGACGAGGATGGGAAACTGGAATAGTGGCTTGTCGTGGCTCAGACTGTGGCAAACAAGCTATGCACAGACTCAACACGTGATTCCAAAGTCTCAGGTACACAGTCAAAAATATACCATTACATAAAAGAGACCATATGTAAATCCCTTAGATAAGTGGGTGGCAAACAAACCTGGGACAAGGCCACATCATGAACCAGAAGATCCCAAGAGCCAAAGATGACAAATGAGCTAACATGGAGGTAATAAGGGAGAGGCTGTCCCTTGAAAAACCCTTAGGATATCAGTGTATCACCTCGGAAAGGAGATGGATGGTAAATAAATATAACAGAAGTGAAGTAAGACATAAACAGGGCATGGGATAAACACACAGGAAAATAAGCGACCACCCTCCACACAGGTAAAATAGACCTCAACTGATGAGAGTCGAGAAAAGGGCAGTCAGCTTGATGGTAAGCCAAAGCAAACTAATCCATAGCTCGTGGAGGGAAAGGCATGCTGGCATCCTCAACCAATTGTGAAACAAATTGCTCAGCATGAACCCTAATAACTGGGAGGGTGGAAAAACTAAATATGGGGAAATGGATAAAACATCACACACCTGAGAAATCACGTCTAAAAATGCCATATTAGGCCTAGCTGATTCTACAGGTTGGGCACAGGAAGACACAACAAAATCAGGTGGTGGAAACAGGCTCTCAAAATCTTTATAGGCCCAACCAGGTTTGGCTTGTTCAGGAAGAAGTGGGGCAAGTCACGGAAAAGGTGATTGATCCATATAAAGATCATGCACTTCGAGGATAATCGCTGAGAAATCCAGTGATGGGTCATCCCCACCTGCAGCCTGTGAAAGAATGCTTGTAGGAGGTATGATAGCTGAAGTGGTAACATTAACCCCAGAATTCATTTCAGAAATATGTATCAACAAAATGTTTCACAAACAAATGCAAATGTGAGAACAAAAAAATAAAGACTGGTAGAGAAAGTTAAAGTAAATGGCATCTTCAATATAATGAAAAAAAATTAATAAAGAAATCCCATTTCAGAATTGAAACTATTAAATTTACAAATGTGAAGCACACGAAAAGCAATAAATGTCTGAACACGAGTACTGTCAAACGAGAAATGATAGTTAGGTAGAATTGAATAGAGGGACTCACATGCGCAATGAGAGTATATTGCACTCTTATTAGTGGAGGATTGACTCATGATGATTTGCATGAGAGATGCATTGGAATCAGTGAATTCCAATGGAGGGGAGGAAAAAGGCTTGTGGTATGTGTAAAACGTTTTTTTTTATATAGAGGGCAGCACTGAACAAGAATAGCTGTTTATATGAGCAAAGATAACGTACTGTACCGGAAGTACATTTTCAGTTTAGTGGATTTCTCCCAAAGTAAGTAATAAACAGTAAGAAAATTCACATTCAAGTTTAAAATGGACTTAAAGCTGATATTTTAATACATAAGTATTTATTTTAAACATTGGGAAGATCATGCATATAAAAGAATATAAGTAGTTGAGGAAAAATGATTTGAGGTTTAGATTCATAATATTTGGGATAAAAAAACTAGGAAAAATATGAATTAACCCTCTCGCTATGGGTCTTCCTGTGCTCAGGAGTCAAAGGGCATGTCATCACATTTGTAGACTTACATAAAAATTTTTATTGATCTACTATTTTATGAATGTATGCCAATATGTTTGATATCACACTGTAGATTATAATTCAAATTTTAGTATTATACATTAGTTAATTTCTTAATTTAAAATTAAATATTAAAAAAATTCCTAAATATCAATTTTTGTGTGTCACATGGTATGTTGAATACAACTTATTATATTCAAATCATGTTTGTGATGTCCAAATACAAAATCTATAGTTTCTTATGAATTAGAAACTCAAATTACCGATATTGATAAACTAGAATATAAAACAAGAACCTCCTATATTTTCTATTTGCTGAGATATTGCTACATTTAGTGAATCAAACACAGTGCCCCGCCCACCTCTTTCATTTTTGGAAATACTTGCTTATGTACACCTACTTCTATGACATGTAAATAACCAATCAAAAGCTCAGAAAGTCCCTCTAGTGGTCTTCTCAGTCTCTAGAAGGTGAGAAGTTCCCAAGATTATTTCTTTGTCTTGAATCGCAGAAGGAAGTGGTAAGTGAAAATATTGTCCGAAAAACAATATTTCTTTTTATTCAAATACAGTTTAGTTATTAAGCCTGATCAATTACACTGGAATTCTGGAATATCGATAGAGTAATTTATAATATTTGGTTATTTCAAAATGCATATATAAAACCTAAAAAATTACTTTGTTTTACATCCTCCACATGTGAAATTTGACAAAGTTTGGCAAATTATGGCAAGTGGGCAAATGAATACAAAGGTTTGTAAGTGGAAAACATCATTGTTTCTATATTTCTCTATTTACTGTTTTATGTTTTAAGAAAAATAACTGAAATTTTAGAACTTATTTGTAAATAGTAATAATATATATGCATATGTAATATATTATAATTGATATATGATTGTATTTTACAAAATACTGGCTCACTAGAACAAAGCCAAGGCAGGTCATTTTGTAAAGGCCAGTCTTATATTATTATTGGATACAATAGCATGACTGTACATGCACTGCATCATTTTAACTTCTGTAATGTTTGTTAGACATGGTTGAAAGATCAATGAATATATATATATATATATATATAGATGTACAATGTTATGTGATTTAAGCTATTTAGACTACACATTTGTGGTTTCTTGTTATAATTTGAAGTCATTCTAGAACAAAAAAAGTATAATTTATATCTATTTCCTAATTTTTTTATGTTGGTTACAAGGTCAGTCAAATCAACCAAACCCACCATACAAAGATACAAGAGTGAAAAGAACAGATAAAATGTAGTTTTTCTTATGCAGATTAGAAAAAAAAGCTCTGAGTTAAACAATTATGGTTTTTTGCCTTTATCTATAAGTTACTTTCTTTTAGAATACAAAGCTGAAAATGTATGTTATATTTTTGTTATAAAAGTACTTTGAAAACATGAAAACAGTCACATAGGCCAAATGTCACATATTAACTCTCTCACTACAAGCTCGGTCCCAATGACCAACCTCATCATCATTTTGTGCTTGTTATAGTTTTCATACTATATATTTTAGTGCAGTATGCATATCTTTACGAAATTTTGCAGATTATCAGTAAACATTACAAGGCTTTGGTATATAAAATATCAGGTTTTTAAGCAATGATTTCTTCGTAAATTTTTTTCTTTTCGTAATGTTGACTGTCCAACATGCAAAGTAATTTTAATTTTAACTCCTAATATGAAAAAGTGCAATTAAAATGTTTTATGTATGTTTAATTCTAGAAATTAAACTAATAAACCAAGTTTTCACATTAATATATTTGTTTCCATTGTTAGCAGATTTTTTTTACCTTTTCCAGCAAATCTCAGAAGAAGATATTTGGCTTTGTGAGTTGGGTTCCCTAACCTCCAACAACCAGGAGGCACAGGTACCTCCAGTTTCTCATTGGTTGACTCAGGTTTCTTTTCACTCTGTATTGTGTGTGTATAGCTGTTTTCAGACAATTCCAGTTCTGGTTTCTGATTATCTGCTGCAGCCTTTTCTTCCTGTCAATTTCACATTTTTCTTAAATCACATGTTCAACAAACACATCAGGCAAAAAATGTCAGCATCTAATTTACTGCACAGGTCTTACTGCAGGCTTTATGTTTCCCAAGAGAAACAAATGCTCAAAGAACTGTATAATAAAAAATATGTTAATCCTTTCTGACTGCAATATGCTACTTTAATAACCATTAGTATACTTTCAGCCAACTTGCAAAACTAAGAATCAGCTTTTTCTCATTGCAGTTAAACAGTACTGAGTTAAATATGTCAAAGTTCCACAGAAAATTTCCAAGTTATAAATAACTTTCAGTCACTTCAGAGATCCAAAACATGAAGTTTAAAATTCATTTGATAAATAGATTCTTACTCTATTTATTTGTACATTTTATAATATAGTACCAAAAAAAAAAAGAACAATCTCTACAGATGAATACAATACTTAACTCCTTATATCTTAGATCCTTATAAACCTATTAAGCAATAATAAAACTTTAGTTTTTTGTTTAATATGGATTTAAACTTCTTTACTGAATCTGTTAACACTTCTTGAAAATTCACAGTGATTAAAAACATAGATATCTCTAAAATGACTCTTATTTATTCTAGATCCATCACATGTTATGTTTTATTATTTACATTTCATTATTTCTTAACAAATTCTTGTATCTTCAAATCATTCTTTCAACTAGGAAAACTAAATAAATTTCTAAAATTCTTACAATTGGCAAAGCTTCATCTTTTTCAACTTCAGATTTCATCAATTCTCTTTCTTGTTTTTCAACATTTTTTTCTTCCTGTTCCTTAATTTTATCAGTGATATTCTCTTCATCATCTGTGTCATCTTCCTCATCATCTGACATGTATACAATTTCTTCACCTTCAAGTTAAAAAGAAAATATTTTATAAATATTAAAAAAGCATTTAACTGACACAGCAACATATTAGCCAGATTTTAGCAGACTTAAAAAATATTCTCAAACAGATATAACAAATAACTTAAGCCTTTTCACTAACACATTATGAGCTTGTAGTACACCATAAAAATGTTCTCAGCTCAGTTTCTCGAAATATTAGAAAGCCTTAATACAAACTTTTATGCAAATGAAACTTTTACTCAATATGCAGAAAAAAGGCTGTGTGTAAAATATTTTAAAATGAACTGAAGTATCTAATATATACCATTTTAGATGACATACTTTACAACAAAGATAATTGTAATTTATCTTCCAATTACAGTTTCATATTTTAATTGCAATAGTCTCTTGTATTTTCTTCTCCTGCTGTACTTCTAGATAATGTAAAGCATTAATAAAATAATAAATTTAAAAAATGATAATCATAGTTGGGGAGTAATTAAGCAGTGTAATGAAACACTATTTAAGTAAGATATTTTACATTTTACTTAAGTAAACTCAAGAAGAAATTATCTACTTTTACTCCACTACATTTCTTTTATAAGACTGTCGTTACATTTGAAAAAATTGGAGAAAAACCACACTGGTTGCCATAGTGATAGTGTTTGTTTTCATCAAACACAAAACACCAATTCTTTCAAATAAGACAATCACAAGTGGTGGTATTTCCTCCGCTACTGAACAGGAACAAAACACAGCCATTTACATCTAGTGTTGACTGTGATAACTTTGTCCCTATTTAAAGACTTATTTTCACTGAAAACAATAGTGGGAAATTCAGTTAAGTTGCAATGCCTCCTGTGTAAGCCCAAACTGGTGGAACTCAATGCATACATCAAATTGTCCTCAAATTTAAAGAAACAGATGGAGGTAAAATTTTCAATATTCATATTTCAAATTCAATAAGGTTATGCTTCAGCAGGTGGAATAATGAAGTCAAACTAAGAATGAAACTGTACGAGGCCTAGTTTAACAATGTGTATTTGTAAATAAATCATTTTTTGAAAAATAGGTCCTGTTTTTATCACAGGCTAAATCTTTAATTATAATGTTTCTGTATTATATATATATCCTAGAGGTTTCAATTATTGCAAACACCCCCATGTTTGCCTCTGCAACATGCAAACATTTGTTCTGCAGGGCTCTCGTTAATACAGAGATTAGCTAATCTGTCTAGTAGGAACTTTGAAAATCAGCTGCTGCTGAAGCTAAATAGTAAGTGGAGTGTGTGAAGAGATGTACCATAGACAGTAATACTGATTGTTTTAATAAAAATAAAATACCTCACAGCCACCAAAAACAAGTTTTTTTAAAAATCTAAATTACCTATTTTTTTCATTCTAAAATGACTTCAAATTGTAACATGAAACTACATTAGTTTATCTGAAATAGCTTTAAACTCGTAACAGTATACATTTGTTTCTACTTAAATTTGATTGTTTTATTGCTCTTTGAACCATGTTTAAGTAATATTATTGCCATACAAGTTGTAAATCACTTGGCAAACATGTAGCTCACATTACCCTATTAAATTACAGAAACACACAGGCTACTCGCGAGTTGCTTGTAAGCATACCTCATGAAAAATTATTATTTTTCTTTATTTTACCTAATTCAACCTAAAAAAATTTCTAATTTTTATATTTTAGTTACTTTTATAGTAATAAAAAAAAATATGCGAGAGAAAAATAAGAAATAAAGTATGTACCTGGGTCTTTTTTGTTTTTTGCTGTCAACTGTTGATAAAACTTAACCCTGCTTTTCTTTCTTATACTAATGGTACTATTGCACTAAGTAATTTTTTATTTAATTAAATAATGCACCAAAGTACCCAGAATAATAACACACAAAAAGCAGACAATGTCCTATGACTATCACAATTGTTCTGGCTTTCTAACTATATGACAAGAACTGTTTGGAGTTCAGCTAAGCTTATTGATATGTTTCCTGCGAGAATAAAGTTTGAACTGGGAGTAAAATAGACAATTCTCTGTACAAAAAATAATGTAATATAATACATCATTTGATAGACTAAAACTTTGGCTTTCCATTGGTTATAAATAATATGGTATAAAATTTCAGAGAGAACTATTGGCAATTTGTAAGATGTGACAGGTAGATGAGGCAAGAGGGGTCTGATTTTCTAACTTGTGGCTCTGTAACCAAATAACATTGAAGGTTATAAAAATTATGCTTTGGCTGTTCAATGACAACATTATAATAAGTAATTTACATTAAATTTCGTACTTATCAGAGGAGGGGTAAATAAATTAGAAAAAAGGGGATATCTAGAGAGTAAATCTCAGAATTCTCATGCTAAGGAAAATTGAGGATTTTTTAAAATACTGTCGTATAAAAGTAGGAACTTAAAACTTATACAACATTAAAATTTGGGTTATTTGCTATATTTTGATGCCAAGTTTATTTGTATATCATGATAATAAAGTAATTTAATTAAATTTTAAATGTAACTCACTTCAACCTCATGATACGTGCAGAAAAAGATGCACATAGCAAAATTGTTAATAGTAGCCAGAGAAGATGTACCATATCATTAACACTTATTGAAGCTGATAGCTTAAAGGAAAAACTTCAAGAAAGGCATATAAAACAAATAATAAATTTTCACTTTTCTTGTGAACATATAAACAACACCCCAGTTCAACTTTAAATCCTTTTGCAACAAGTTCAATAATTGAATGTATGATTCAGTTAACACAGTTAAGAATCTCACCTTTATCAGATGACCCTCCTTTTATTCTTTCTTCTTTTTTTATGTCCCTGTTCTGGCTCTGATGTTTTTCTGTCTTTTCACGAATTTCCATTGGCTTACTACAGCCAATCAAAGCCCGGGCTGCTCCCATGTTGTCTAACCACACAACATTACCTGAAATGTCATTGTAAAATTTAACAGCAAGTTGGAGATACCAAAGTAACGTTTTATTTATTTCTTTTATATACTTATAATTTGTGTCTGTGTGTTCCTAGAATACACTCACCAAGATATCAAGTTGATTAAAAATATTATTTTAAGCATTTTAGTTAGACAAATTTTTTTTATTAAATATCAATACTCGTAACTTAAGCCATTTAAGTTTAACACTAATAATAATGTTTCTCTTAAGGTTTGAATGCAAAAAGGTAGCAAAAATTGGAAACTAATATTCATGACAAAAATCAAGTTAGACTGCACTATTTCTGTCAATCTGTCTATAATGGATTAGAACACTTTCAACAGATACATCACAATTTTACTAACAGTTTCAGAGATGTTCCAGTTTCGTTAATATGGAGTTTTAGATACTTAATTAACAAAATTTATTTAATTCACATACTGCTTTTGTTGTTACTACTTGCCATTATTCTAAGAAGACATGCTCTTTTATACTCGATTTGTTGTCACTTTTTTAGACCTTCATGTTCCCAACTCAAGTTTCTAGCACCCTATATACCTAGCATCATATCATTTGTACTAACTTGTCAAGATGTCTTCATAATGTTAATACTAACTTGGGTGGACACGTATATAGCATGTAACTTGACTGGATACTAGCACAGTATTTATATTAACTTGTGAAGATATCTGTCTGTAATGTACATAAACTTTATTCACCTATACAAGAGCTCTGGGTAACCAATATCATGAGTGGATGCCAGCATAATATTTACATTAGCTCGAGTGAACACCTTCATAATGTTTACTCTACACTAACATCAGTGAACACCTGTATAATATTTAAAGTGGAAAACCAAAATATTTTTTACACTAACTTGTCAGGATACTTGTATAACATTCACATTAATTTGAAAAGTCAGCTATATAATATTAACAATAGTTTAATGGATGTAATGTTTACACTAACATAATTGGACATTTGCACAATGATTACTATAAGTTGTGTAGACACATAACATTTACACCAACATGAGTGGACACACCTACATAATGTTTACACCACCTTGAGTGAAAACATACACAATGTTTACATTCATTCTAGATTAATGTATATTTATTTTTATAAAGCTTTTAGGAATGTTCAATAAATAAACCCTTAAGTAATCATGTGAATTTCTTCTAACATATAACATACACTTACAAGAATAATCATTGACCCACTCAATGGATGCAGGGCCATATTCTTTAAAGTAATCAAATACATTCTGGGTACACATGTCATTCACACCTCGAATGTGAACTGCATTCAGTCGATAACCTTTGTATTTTCCTGAAAATCAAATATTTTGAGAATTAAACTTTATAAGGCAAACTAAATTTTACAATATTCACAGATATTTTATGTTTTATTTTATTTTTTACTATATAAATACAGAATAATTTAATCATAAAACAACCTTCTATTTTTGGAGAAAACATTTCAATGAGACATGTTTATTCTCTGGAATACAAATTCACACATAAAAAGTTAATATAAAATCTTTCTATAAAAAGTATAGTTATGGTAAAACAATAATGTACAAAAAAAGGACAAACATGTAAAACCTGGATAGAAATTACAGAAAGTATTTTAAGTTTTTCCCTATGGTGAAACTCCTCTTTACAATAGATTTAACTCTCTTGTTACAGGCTCAGTTGAATCAACCAAATTCGTGAAACCAAACTGACCTTTATAGTTTCAATACAATAACTTCTTACATGTTTTGTGCATCTTCACAAAATTTCACAAGCTTTCAGTAATTATTAAGTATTATTTGTAATCGAAAAATCAGAATTCTTAATGAGGTATTTTCACAAAACATTTTCCATGAATATATGGAGTCAAAGTGTTGACTGCTCTGAGTGCAAAGTAATTTCCATGTTAAGATTAAAATACTTTTCTTAATCTGAAAAATCTCAAATTTTATTTGCATAATCTCTAAAACCTACTAAATAAATTTCTTACATTTTTTTATCAATAAAACTTTATATTTTATCTGTTACATTCTGTACCCTAACTCTATATGAGGTTGGCCAATTTGACCAACCTCATAACCACCAACAAACATTTTAAAAAAAAATACAAATTATCCTTTTTCTCTTTCTAGAATTACTTCAAATTATAACATGAAACTACATTTGTTTATTCTAAATAGCTTTAAACTTATAAGAGTATTTATCTGTTTATACTTAAGTTTTATTGTTATATTGCCCTATGAACCATGTCTAACTAATATTCCAACCCTAAAATTTGTAAATCACTTTGCAAATGTGCAGCTCACATTACCATATTGAATTACATAATACATAGGCTACTCATGAATTGTTTGCAAGTGTACCTTGTGATTGATTGTTAGGGATTTCGTGCAAAGCTATACGAGGGCTATCTGTGCTTGTTGTCCTTAATTTAGCAGTGTAAGGCTAGAGGGAAGGCAGTTAGTCATCACCACCCTCCACCAACTCTTTTACCAACGAATAGTGGGATTAAATGTCACATTATAATGTCCCCACGGCTGAAAGGTCGAGCATGTTTGGTGTGATGGGCATATTGCAAGTTGAGCACCCTAACCACCTGGCCATACCTTGTGAAAAAATGTTATCATTATTCATTTTACCTAATCTAACCTTATTTAACCTAAAAAGTTTCTAAATTTTACATTGTAGTTACTTTTACAATAATAAATAAAGAATACACATGAAAGTTATAATTTTCCTCTACTGAAAATATAATTCCAATAGGTACTTACTTCTGCTCACATAAAAACCTTTTCTCATTCAGTGCTGCCCTCTATATGCAAAATATAATTTATGCATGCCACAAGCATTTTTTTCTCTCCTCCATTGGAATTGACTAATTCCAATGTATCTCTCATGCAAATCATCATGTGACAACCCTCTACTAATCAGAGTGTAACATAATCTCATTACACATGTGACTCCCTCTATTCAATTCTACCTATCACTTTGAGTTTTGGCATTATTCATACATTTTTCACTTTAAAAAATACTGACCTGGTTCATTTTGATTGAAGTCCCTTGCATCACACTCAATGTTTAGACTACATAGGATGAAAAAAATAGAAATTAATTTTTTAAAGCTTTTGACAAATGTACAAAATTTGAGATACAATAACCATTACCCACTATACAAGAGCTATAGTTTTTTTAATCTTCACATAAAGTGTAATGTACTTTAACTTTAAAATGTCTGATAAATAGTTCATGTTTGACAGCAAAGTAATTTAAATTTTAATACTGAAATTATTTTTAATTGGGAAACAAGAACACTTGCTAAAATATAAGCCACTAAGAAGAAAGATTCTCCAAAAATGATATTAAACATTTACTTGAACAAGCTGATAAGTGAAAAGAGATTTGAACCTGGGATTTCTGGCTAACAAGACCAGTATTCTGTCACTGAGCTATCCAAGAGTAAAAGTTGTCCCTATTAATTTTTTACTTGTAAAGCTTTCTGCTATGAGTACAATTACCATAGTATATTATGGCAGGTACAAAGACTTACATTTATTTATTAAATGTCATTATGAATTCATGAAATAGCAATACTATTATATCATAACAATTAATATTAAATATTTAAGTGAAAAGGGACTCTAGGACAGGGACTTCAACCTGGAATCTAGCTAACAATGTTAATGCTTTACCATTAAGTTTCCCACAGGTATAATCTATTCCCCATCAATGTTCACTTCGCTTATACTCTTTAGTAGCTAAGTGGAAGAGCATTGGCCTTAGTAGTAAATGGTACCGAGTTCAAGTCCTGGTACCAGAGTTACTTTTCACTTTGAGGCTTTCTTAGTTAAACATTTAATATCAATTATTATGATATAAATTTATTACTAATTGACAATTTCAATTTCCAAATGGAATATAAAAACAACATTGTTTCAAAATAACTATTTTATAACTATCCTCAGTGGAAATCAAAATAAACAAAAAATTAGCAGTACTTCATTTCTTGCACATCTTTATCACAATTTACCTCTCTAATCTAATGTCTCTGAATAATATAAAGTTATTTATTTTGTTTTCAAATGTAAATCTTACCTTTTGTACAAACTGTTAATTTCTTCTGGTGTAGTTTGACATTGTGGTTCATTTTCAAAACCAAAACGCTGGGCTCGTTTTTCTAGCTTAGCATGCACTTCCTATTGCAGAAATAAACCTAAATGAACTTTGATATAATTCTTTACATTGAAATAAACGTACAAGTGTTCACCCTTACTTTTTGCATATGGTAATTAATTTTTTGAAGTACAAACAAAAAGTCTAATTACAGACAAATTAGTTTTAATCATTAAATCATGTGTTGCTACATGTAGTAAATAACTAATTAATGTTTTTTTATTGAGATGAAAGTTAACATTTTCCTTACCTGAAAATGTATTTCCAATAAATACTTACCTCTCTAGACACTGTAGCTATTCTTTGTGCATCTGCCTTTGAGATTTTGCACATACCAATAGGAGGGTGGCATATCCTCCACATACAGTAGATTCCTATAAGCACTTGCACTCAAAATTAGACTAATAATATTCACCAGTAGTGAGGTGTGCAGCTAAGTGTCTATTGGAAATACATTTTCAGGTAAGGAAGATGTAAACTTCTGAAACAATATACTTACCTCTCTGCACGTAGTGATGTGGTGAAGGGGCCAGTGCAATTGTGAAAACCTAGTTGAGCTCTCTTTGAGGTGACTGAAGGAGAAAGCCCATAGGGACTTACTAGGAGGGCAACACTTGTGGGAGACAGCATCCATCTTATACAGGGTATACTCTTCACCCAGATGGAAGTATGACAGGAGAAAGGCAAAATGACCCATTGTGTGACAAGGATGGGCAGAAAGAGACATGACTAACTAAGCATTTTCACACAACAGGTCAGTTGGACATGAGGGGTAGTGGGGCTACAGTAATTATCAGACAGAATAGATTGGTATGTGTTTTGTTACAGAATTTACTCACATAAAGGAGTAGGTACTAAGTTCCTACCTCTCTTGTAAGGAAAACACTTTGCCTCATGTAGCTGGCTAAACCACTAGGAAATTGGCATATTATATAATGGGGTGACCTGCATTACACTGATATGGACACCCCTGCCCTAATTCATACTGCATTGTGTTGCCTACTCAGACTCCATATTTACTGAGACTGAGTGTTAAGTAATTTCCATGTTAAGATTAAAAATACTTTTCTTCATCTCAAAAATCTGAAATTTTGGTCAGTTTAACTTACCTCATAACAACTAAAAAATTGAAATAAATCTAAATTCCCCTTTTTTCTTTCCAGAATGACTTCAAGTTGTAATGTGAAATCACATGTTTAAACTAAATAGTTTTAAACTCATAACAGTATACATTTATATATACTTACATTTTATTGCCCTTTGAACCCTGTCTAACTAATATTCATGTCAATATAAGTCGTAAATCACTTGGTGAATGAGCAGCTCACATTACGCTATGAACTACATTATGCACAAGCTACTTCTGAGTTTACCTCGTAAAATTTTTTATTATATTATCATTATTTATTTCACCCAATCTAACCTTAAATAACATAAAAACTTTTCTATTTCTACCTTTTACTTACTTTTATAATAATAAATAAAGAATACACATGAAAAACAAGAAAAAAAGTACTTACCTGGGTCTTTTTTTTTTTGCTGTTGACTATCAAGGACACTTAACCCTTCTTTTTAACACTAATAGTAGTACTACACTAGATAATTTTTTACATAATTGAATAATGCATAAAAAAAAAGAATAATAACATGCAAAAAACAGATAATGTTGTCCATGTAATAATGGAAATGAAGTCCATGACTGTAGACATGGTTAGCAAATGCTCCCATGACTTGGTTGAAGACATAAGGAGCTGTGGCAATGCCAAAGAGAAGAGTTTGAAACTGGTACACCTAATCCCAGTGAATGAAATAAAGTGAGTACAGGGCAATCAGAAAATGTAGAAAAGTATCCAAGATGCTACCTTGGCCATCCACAGTCCAGGGGAAAATGACCAATGGAGAGGAAGAAACCAATTGTGAACTGAGGAACCACCACCAGATAGTGGTTGAGAGAGAGGAAAGGTCAATGATGTGACACCAGTTCCTGGTCTTTATGGAGACAACAAAGAAATGAGAATAAAATCCTGGAGAGGGGTAAAGGACCCCTTTTGGTGGTTCTTATGTCCAACGGATTTAATACTATGGCCTCAAGATGCAGAAGACATTGATCAGAAGAAGGAGGAGGAGGGGAAAAAAAGAAAAAAAAGAACGACAAGTGAAGAGAAAGATCACATATAAAAAACCAATTGGCTGCACTTTTAGGTTTTACTCTATGGCTACTGCTGCACTCTAGAATCACAGAATGTTACTGAGTTACATTCATAATTTAATTAAACCAAATATATATATATAAGCCTATATATATTAGTTTGATAGACAATTAAATTGCATTTAGATTTTACTTTCATATTTTAATTAATTATGTATTATTTCATATTCAAAAGGTTTAATGACATTTTAAGTTCTTCTAATCATCACCTTGCTCCTTAAGGATTATAAAAATTGTCGAGTGCAAACCCTTTTGCCAGAGGCAAAAGCATCTCTACCAATCATAATGTTATATGGCCCAAAGGCACCAGTTAACATTTCAAAATAAATAATAAAAGATAAAGAATTGGAAAGGAAAATAAACTAAGTGAAAAGGTAAAAAGATATTTTAAGATTATTCAATGATGAGATAAAAGATATGTACACATTTCCATTTCTTACTAAGCACTATTATTTATATTTTATAATCAAAATGATGTTGAAGTACTAGTTAACTTTTTATTTTTATAACTTATACTCCCTCATGTTAGTCTATGGTAATTTGATAAGCCATTTGAAACCACTGCACCATTTAAACTGGAATTTTTTAGGCCTACTGTGTTTACTGGATGATTTTTGTTTGTTTACTTGCTATTAAACTATACACTGGACTATCTATGCTGTTCCCACCATTGGTATTTAAACCAAGTTCTTAGCATTGTAAGCCTACAAACCTAACACTGAGCCACTTGGGAAGGGAATGTGTGGTTAGTTACAGAATGAACTTGAAGAAACAGTATCACTATCACCATCAGAAACAAATTCAGCCTCTGCAGCTACTATATTTTTCAAATATTCCAGGAGCTCAGAAACAGACTGTGAATTATCATTAATCCTTATAAAGTAGCCATTGATGGGTTTAACACCCTCACACTGCATTTTTCTTTTTACCTACTACTCATCAGGGGAGATCAGGTTATCCATGATTGCTTGTTGAATTTATCATCATAAGTAGCAAAAACAACTTCCAAAATTATCATGATCACTCAACTGGTACTCAGGATGACTGACTCACCTAGCTCTGTGAATCAACCAGCAGATGTAGCAGCTTATAAAGATGACATGACTTATGAAATAACCTTATATTGACAGACAAGTATTACATAATCACCTAGACACCTGTTTATTATAAATAGAACAGATTATCTAAAATCAGAACACTACACAAATACAATTATACAAACATATTTAGTTATCAATATTTCTGGATACATGAGTGTATATGAATAATATTTCTCTTACATAATGGCTACCTAATTTTTTTGCAGTTAACATATGTACAGGTAGTGTTTTTCACCTGCATAATAATTTTTATAAGTGATTCACATACAGATGTAAGGGGGAACACTCAAGTATAAATTAATATTCATAAATTGTTCATCTTAAAGAAGCAGATTGTTATTCTGAATCTATATGTTCATAGATATACCAGCTGCAAAATTTCAAGAAAATGAAACTGTGTTCAAAGTGCCAATGGAAACTAAAGTAAGAAGTGTTCCTCTACACTTCAGAAGAAGCAAAAAGTGACATATGTCATCAGACCTAACATCTTAAACAACATACCCATAAGCTGTGTAAGGGAAATAAAGATTTTCAGAAACACATTTTCACACAGATGTTTTGTCAATCACCAGGTGATTAATGTAAGCTTACATTTTATGCAAAACCACTATTTTTATGAATAAATTGAAGACATGAAAATCTTGCTTAATGTTAGAAATAAAACATTTATGACAAATAAAAAACATATAGTTTTCTTGACTAATGGTAGTAGTTACCTTGGATGAAAGATCAAGTCCTGTGTAAAATGCACCTGCTGGGTTTTCGTACTTTTGAATATTCTGTAAAAATAGAAAGTAAGTTTCAAGAAGAATGGTTCACAGTGCAGAAAAAAAAAAAACAATCACAGGAATTGTGTAAGTTAAGTTTCATTCTTATAAAGTAATTACTTTCAAACAGTTGCATATAAATACTAAAAGTCACTTAGGTGATAGACTATAATTTTTTAGTTCATTAGAAATACTAGATAATTGTTCTCATCCCAGATATAAAAGGGCTAGTCCTACAGCATAGTAGTTTGGGACTGGAACTGAAATATAGGATAGACATATAATTTGAAGGTTTGAAGTTTGAGCTACAACAGGGTTACTAGGCTTACAAAAGGGTGGTTTAAAACTGGTGCTGCAACTGAACTAGACAAAAATGTTAACCTTAAAGTCTGATTATACAAATATGGAAAATTGTGTTTCTAACAATCTTTTGTTCAATCTATAGCAAAAGTAATTACATTAAGAGTGATCATACATAGTTACATAGGTAATACAATTTTTGTGTACCCATTTACATATTTAAATATGTATGAAACTTTTGATTAAAGTCTCGTTGAACAACTGAAACTAAAATCCTCACAGTTCTAGATAACTTCTGAACTCGATCAGTTTTTTTCTGAAAAGCTGTTTTAAGTTCTTTGTTGAAATATTATGCTTAATTGCTCATACTGTATACTGTTATCCTTTTAAAACTTTTTTTAAACTAGTTGACTTTTTCTGTAATCAGTTTCTTTATTCACACTTAAATAGGATCTGTATTGAAGAGCTATGCTTGTGCATATTTGGTATAGATTGAAGTACTTCAATACAGTAAAACATTGATTAACGGACACCTTGAAACAACAGGCACCATGTCATTAAGGGCAGACCTTTTCGGTCTCTTTCTTTTTACTAATATTTGTAACCAAAATAAATTTTGCAACAACAAAATATTCAGGATTAAGAGAAGTATCTTTAGTCTTATTCTCTGTATGGATACTCAATAAAGTGGGCAGTTATCTTTGTATGCTTGTACGGTATACTGCTAAATTGCAAACATCCCAGAAGGATGACCAATGTTCAAACACTTGTGAAGTTTATTGGATCAGCTCCAAACCATATACTGTAAACATTTTCACAGATTCAAAGTGCAATTTTATTACTCTGGAGATTTCTCGCTGCAAACATTGTAGGATACATAAGCTGATAAATTCCACATCATGTTCTTGGAGAAGGGGTGAAGTCGGCTTATTTCCATGTGCATGCTTTGTTGCTCTCAAGAGTGTCGTATTACAGTGTCACGTAAACAATCTAATGACACAAGAAGCTTTATATTCAGCAGATTTCTACTTCAATTGTTGACAGTAAAATAAACAGAAAATAAATGTGAAATGTTTAGCAGTTCAAGCTATGAAGAGAATGACTTTGAAACTTTGTGACCAAAAATAAAGAAAAACAGAGACAGCTAATCTACATCCTGCTGACAGCACTCCATGTCATGGCAATGTGCACCTCACAAACACCCAAGTCCTGCATACACCAACAAAATGGGGGAGGGGGGGGGGTTAAAATTAAGAAACTTGGTATGGTGAATATGGAGTCCAGCTTTGCATGGCTCATTTTTTATATTAAGGGATCATTGCTATAATGGGCATTTGGATGCATTCGAAAGGGTGCCCTTAAGTTTGAGGTTCTACTGTATTTGGAAAACATTGTTTCATCAGTTGGGTACCCTCATTGTTAATCATACTTTTGGCTGTAATAACACATCTAGTCAAGTTTTAGAGGATATTTGAAATATTTTTTACAAAAATACATAGATTATATAGATTATAAATTAACTATTTCAATACAAAAACATAACTTTTGAACCTAAATATTAAAACAAGAACTGCATTTAGTTGTTTTGTAGTATCCACGAAGATCCATCATGACAAGGTGATGAATACAATTTTTTCCCACAGGCTTCATAATTAATGCAACAACTAGATAAGATCCTCTTGCTTTTACTATCTGTACATTTGGAATAACACATCATCTGATAAAAATTGGGCATTTACACTTCCTCGAGGTGACACCCTCCCTCTCATTTGTATTTTAGTTATGCTGCCAAATTAACTGTCATTTTATAACAACTATTAAACTTGACCATTGTGTCTTGAAATATAACAGTTTGTGAAAAGAAAAAAAAAACAGTGTGTTTGTTATATAATAACATTGTGGTATAATAAAACACCAGGAACATGCAATATTTTACCAAGCATTTTAAGACATGTCAAATATAATAATTATATATATATACACATATACATACACACACACACATACACGACTTTCTCATTAATTTTTAGGTCAGTAGACATTGGACAGGTGCCTGAAGCCTGGAAAGTTGCTAAGATAATCAATCAATAAATAATATTGTTATTAATCCTTACCCTAAAACTGTGATCACAAATGAATTAAATAAACTTGTTAACAATTACAAACACTCTATTAAATCTAGTTCACACTCTAATAGTCATTGTTCACGAAAGTTAACATTTCCCTACACTGAAAATATATTTCTGATAAGTATTTACCTCCACTCACATAATAGTTATTCTTGTTCAGTGCTGCTCTCTATATGCAAAAACTTTTTGCATGTTACAAGCCTTGAAACTCCCACCTACCCTATGATTAACGTGGTTCACCGTGTTTTCACATGTATCATCATCAGACAACCCTCCACCAATAAGTGTGTGACACCCTTCTGATGCATGTGACTATCTCTATTCAATTCTACTTTAAGATTAGGCAGAAACTAAGTACCAGTTTTAAGTGGGGTGAAAGGAGGTAAGTACTTATCAGAAATATATTTTCCGTGTAGGAGTATGTTAACTTATAATACAGTACCTTACCCCAGCTCACATAATAGCTAGAATCTCACACTGATAAGATGGAGGAACCATGTAGGGAAGACAGATAAGCATCCTTCAAAATCATCTGAAGAACACCCATGGAATGTAAACCCCTGTTGGGAGAAGAACACACATGGGAGATCGCATGACTTCTGTACCAGGTATACTCTTCTCCCAGTGATGGGAAAAGTATTGCATAAATAGGTGGAAAAGGGAAGAACACATCCAAAATTGATGGGTAAAACAAAAGGATGTACTCCATGGTGTAGAATGGCTAGGGTGTGACAGGTTATATGTGGCATGTCAATTCCAGTCCAAAGCCAGATGGCACAGGGTACACACGATCTTCACCTCGAGTTGAGTAGAATGGAAGGAGAAAATTCCTTACCAGTTGATTAAACAGGGCACATGTAAGCAACTCCACAACCAACCCCAGCCATCCAGGCACCTGACATCTAAGCGATGATAGGAAGGGACATGCAATTATGGGTGTTTACTACAAATCCAAACAATTTGCCAGGAACAATTCTGTGCAACATCAACCTCACTGAGGTAGAGTATCATAGGAATGATATTCGTTCTGCCACATATAATCCTCTGGACAGGACCAAACATAAGCCAGAGTGCCTGGATGACCAGCCAACTCCCTGAGTAACCACAGAGCAGAGAAAATTGAGCGAGATCAATGCAACATAAACTTCTGGGACCCACCACACAGAGGTGGAACCCATGACGCAAATATCCTTTGACTGAAAGCAGGACGAGGAATCACAACAAACCCATGTGAGGACTTATGTTGACTGGTCTAACACAAATCCAAAATCAACCACTGGGGACCAATATCCAGTCGATGGTAAGACAAGGGATCCTAATCGGAGGGGAGAACTGCAATGTGACAGATCTACTCTAATTTATTTAATATACTCTTGTAATTCATGCACAACATTATCTCCTGGATAGAGCCGCACAGAAGCTGGAGCACATGGATGCACAACATCAACTTCCTCGTCCCATGTCATAAAGGCAGAGCACAGGAGTGGAGGATCTACATCATCTACATCAGCAGAACACCACTGCCCTATTCTCTACTGAATGGAATTGAACATGTTCCGGAGGTTGCTCCCATGGTCCACCACCCCAGCAGCTAGGAACTGATAAGTGGTAAGGAGTCCCCTACTCCACTAGAAGAAAATGTGATGAAATGCAGCGAGGAGTTTGTATGAATGCCAACACCAGAGACAGCACAATGGGTGACCACAAAATTCCTAGTTTAAAAAGAAGACCACCCCTGATTTATTCAATGGAGGGGACAGCAGAGATGGGCAGCAATCCCCTTTTGCTTTACCCATGGGTGAGTACAATCTGGAATGGGCATTTGATTGAAGCAAAATGCCATGACTAAAACCTATTAGTGGTCTTGTAGAACATCCCTTGATGGTGTGAGCTATAGGCCGTGAGTACACATTAAGTTAATGGGAACATTCTCCACCCAAAGAAAACTTCAATGGATGACCCATAGAACAACTGCTACAATACTTTGTGTAACATCAAGCTCTCGAGTCAAACCTCACTGAGGTGGAGAGTCTGGAGTAGCAGTGTGTAACTCACACAATATCATCCCTTGGACAGGAATAAACAAATGCTGAAGCTCATGTATTACCAGCTGACATTCTGAACAACCAAAGTCTGCAAGACAAGCAGAAGCAGCACTGTGTAACATCAACCCACCACACAGAGGTTGAATGACAGTTATTAGGTGGTTAATATACTCCTGTATGACTTATTGTCAGCCGTACAGTGCAGAATTTTGTGTGGATAGATAAGTAGCATACATAGACAAGCAATGTTTGCCACTGAGTGGGATCCTAGACCTAAAAGTGATATGCCTCTGTAAAGAAAATATGGAAAAGCAAACTTATCTAGTCACAGTCAAACTGATGTGTGAAGTATGGTGACAGGTGGAAGGTAGTATATTGATGAGGAAGAAACAGCTACCTGATGAAGATAATGGGAGATGAATTTGTGAGGTGTCCAGATGCCCAACCAAAGAATTTCCCCCAATGGATGATGAAGTTCAGATGCCAGGAAAAAGGCAAGGTGACTTATCTGATATGACATCACCTGAAACAAGTTCCA